CCCTAGTAGCGTCCTTGCTCCTAGTAGCGATGCCAGGAGCCCCTAAGTCTAGTAGCTTCTTGTTACTAGTAGTAAGAATGCTCCTAGTAGCGATGCCAGGAGCCCTAGTAGCGTCCTTGCTCCTAGTAGGGATGCCAGGAGCCCCTAAGCCTAGTAGCTTCTTGTCACTAGTAGTAAGAATGCTCCTAGTAGCGATGCCAGGAGCCCTAGTAGCGTCCTTGCTCCTAGTAGCGATGCCAGGAGCCCTAAGCCTAGTAGCTTCTTGTTACTAGTAGCAAGAATGCTCCTAGTAGCGATGCCACGAGCCCCAGTAGCTTCTTGTTACTAGTAGTAAGGCCAGGAGCGCCCAGTTTGTAGCGTCCGATCGCTCTGTTCGTAGCGATGCCCTTGGTTCCTAGTAGCTTCTTGTTACTAGCAACACACTTGTTGCAGGTGCAGACTCACAGCTGTTTCACTCGGCGGGATGAACCTACTTTGAACATCTTAGATCCTGTCACTCTTGAATATATCCATTGCGTGTCCAGTTTGTTTGTTTGTTTGTTTTTGAGCGCAATCGGGAACGACCGCAGGAAGCCCTTCAAGTACCAGGAAGATGCTCCAGATGGTGGCTTAATGGACTTCCTGGAAGGCCACGACATGAACTCCTTGAAAGGGAGATAGGATGAATTAGCATGAAAGATGTCACTATGGGGTGGGGGTGAGTCCTCTCAGGGTCAGGGTCAGTCCTCTCAGGGCTGTAGAATTTGTGCGGGCGTGTTATTCAAGCCACAAAAGCTCAGAATGGACAGCTCATGACAGCTGAGCAGATTGGACAGCACTCTTCGCACACTTGGCGCATTAAATTACTTAAATCTGCATGTGACACAACTCGGCAACTGCCACGACAAGCACGACTTGCCTGTGGACCTTGAAGAGACAAATATTCATTCAATACGTACTTGCCTACATTTTCAAGCTTGCACCACGTGTGACAAGAAGATTTCCAGGCTCACAGGCCTGGGCGAGAGAGCTTGTTTGAGCAAGCTCATCCAATTCGGAGCCAGGTTTTTGCCATAAGCAGTTTTGCATTGTACCCATGCATCCACTATCCCTACATAATGTGGACTCTTGATTAATAAACCATCCCCCAATATGGATGGTAACCTATATATTGGGGGGGTATGAATCAAGAGTCTACAAGTCTACATTGTGGGCATTCACCAAGTTATTGTTTTTTGTGCAAACAAACGTTTCTTTCCGGTGGCTCTCCTGCACCCTATCGAGTCAATGTGAAATACATCGCAATACAGGGGTAGGGGGCGCGAAAAAAGACATTGACATGGGTTCTCCATGAAATGCATGCCAGCGCATTTGCAGCTGGTAGTTTCATATTTTTTATTCAGCCTTTACTTGAATTGCCAAAGAATCCCATTGACTCATTTTTTCAGGTGAGTACTTGTAGACACCACCAGCCAGTCAAACCTCTATGAAGTAGCAGTCCCAGGTTTCCGCATCAGCCGCGCGGAGTGCCCTCGTACTTCCGGACACCAGGTGAGTACGAGAAGTACGAGGCGAGAGACTGTCGTCCGTCCGAGAATCACCGGTAGAGAGGTCGGTCCCGAGGTTTTGGATCCATCGTCGCTGAGCAGTTAAAGTTGCGAAAGTATCAAAGTCTACACATGCAGTTGACAATTACAGTATACAAACATCACCATGCTACAAAAGTTTCTCAATGTGTCCTCGTTCCAGGTCTCGGTGTCTAACCGGTTGAACGGTCCTTTTGCGGCAGATAACAAACCAGCAGCGCCAGGGCCATGAGGGCTTCCGCAAGGACCTTGGGAAAGCCATGGAGCAGGTCCATCGAAATGAGCCCGGCGGCCCACCTCCTTCCGGGCCGGGTCAGCGATGGGGTGAAGCCCAAACACCGGAGACGGGAAGCTTGGGTTCCTTTGGGGAAGCATGTTGGAAGGCTTGAGCATGTTGGAAGCATCCAAGAAAACGAGTGGACCTTGCCCCACCAAAACCCAGGGTCACCAGGAGCTTTGAACAGATTGGAGCCACCCAAAAGAAGAAAGCGAACCGTTCATTGGAGATGGTGACCGGCCATGCGATGCATCATGTGATCCACCGTGACCAGCACGAAGGTCTGAATGCGATTTTGAAGCAAAGAAGGTCTGAATATGGGCTGGTAAGTGAGCTGGTAGTTTGTTTGCTGTGGTACTATTGGGTCAATTGGATCCAACTTGCGTCATTGATGTGCGCATTGCCTTGGGTTTGCCAGTTGGTGTGTGCTATAGCTCTTTTTTTGATTTGTTTGGGGCTGTTCGAAGAGGCGGAGGCGTTGTCAGAAGATGCAGAGGTGTTGTGCCTGCAGAACCTGCAAGGCTCCGTCATATTCTGCAATGAGCATCATCAAAGAACATATCCACAGCATCTCCCGCACATCTAAAACTTGCAGAGGTCTTGGGATTCCAGGACGTTTCGAAATTGGAAATACGACGTACTCGGGTATGCACCCTCCTTGTGTCATAGGCCATCAGTGTTGCCAAGGGATGTGCCCGACTTGTGCATGATCAGTGATCAGCCTCTAATCGATAGAAAAAGGGAACTGCCTGCAGACACGTGGATCATGTGAATCAATGGTGGAATTCATACATACATACACTACATACCTGGACATCCTATCTTCAAGTCCTGGCTGGAGATCCCTAGTAGTAGAGAGAAGTCCAGCCAGGAAAACCATGCTCCGGAGGGTCCTATACAAGTAATCACGTAAGTCCGGTCCCAAGCTCAGCCCCCCTCGAACGTCGAGGCCGGTGCGTGGCTTTGAAGACTGAGATTTGCGTGACTTTGAAGACGGCAACCGATGGCGGCGCCGACCAAATGCAGCCCAAGGCCCACCACATGGAGTGTTGTATAACTAATCACATCTAGTCACTATATACTTGTAGTGCTGCTACAGCTATTAGTACTACTACTACTACGACGACGACGACTATGACTACTACTACTATTACTACTACTGCTGCTGCTGCTGCTCTTACTACTACTACTACTACTACTACTACTACTACTACTACTACTAGTAGTAGTAGTAGTAGTAGTAGCAGTAGCAGTAGCAGTAGCAGTAGCAGTAGCAGTAGCATAGTCGTAGTTGTAGTTGTAGTATGTTGTAGTGGTAGTGGTAGTGGTAGTGGTGGTAGTAGTGGTAGAAGTAGAAGTAGAAGTAGTGGTCGTGGTCGTGGTGGTCGTGGTGGTCCTCGCCTAAATCTCAATACGGCGATCTTTTTGATTACGGCGATTTTCACACGACTACGACGACGAGTACGACGACGAGTACGAGTACGAGTACGACGACGAGGACGACGACGATACTAGTACTACTCCTACTCCTATTCCACTCCTACTCCTACTCCTGCTCCTACTCCTACTCCTACTCCTACTCCTCTTCCTCCTCCTGCTGCTGCTGTTGTTTTTGTGCTGCCATCTATCACTTCGACTCCAAGTAGTACGAACCATGCAACTACTATACTTCTAAAGTGACACCTGTTCGTTGGCAGGGTTGACATCGCACGCAGTCACCCTTCCATGGTAGCCTTGAGGCCTCTTCGGTTTTCATTTGTCTTGCGTTCCGTTCGCTTCCAACGGGGCCAGTGATCCACCTGATTGGCTGGTGAATGGCCAAAGACAAACTGGCAGGCTTTAGACTCAATTACTCATTTTACTAGCCCTGCGGCCACTGAAGGCTGCAAAGTCAAAGAACGGACTCAAAACATCACACAAATTATGATGAATTTGTTGTTTTTTTCCCATCACTCGAAGTGGAATAGCCTGAGCACCCCAAACTTGAGTGAATCGTTTTCTCTTTGTCAGACAAATTTGCGTTGTTTACATGAACAGACAGTGAAGATACTACCCCACCGAATAGTCAACAAATATCCTATAGGCGTTTTTTCATGGACACGCGGTGAAACCCATGGTTTTCCTCTCCCCAACCCAAGCAGCCCGACTCGCCGCTCAGACTAGCCCGAATTGCACAGCAGGCCGCCTCTTCAGTTCCACCATCTTCGAGTCTCGACGAGGTCGGAGGGGTCAGTGAGATCTTCCACCGAGGGGTGGGAGGTTTCATTTCACGATTCCGTCGACGAGTCCTGGCCTTCGCCACGAACAGAGTCGTGTCGTTGGGGTGTTCTGAGTGAGTTGGGTTTCTCCAGAAACAGCACTCCATGGGACACCACGCGTTTCGTTGCCAATGTACCGGTGGTTTGGGAGGTCAATGTAGGCGTTTTGGTTCCATCCATGGAGTGTTTGGGTCTGACAGGCACTTGAACCCACTAGAACATGTGTCGCACCTCTGAGCTCTGCGCTGAACAGAGCCACACAGCAACGGGCAACATCATGCACTTGTGATCGTGGTCATCGGCCGTCCGCAATCATGCTAAGATCGATACCAATAGCATCCACTAGGTGATTCGACGATTCTGCGAAGCCGCATTCTAGAAACCCATGAAGCAGTCAGACAACATAGACTCGCTTCCCTGTCAACCCCAAAGCTTGGTTTACGGCGGATTCCGGACCACAATGGCTTCAGTGCTCTCAATAAGATGTCCAAAGACGATACAAATCCCATCTTTGGAGACATCGACAGCAGTGGCGTGGCTCCAAAAAGTCCTCGACATGCGTCATTTCGATCGTTCGACTGTCGGAGATATTGGGTACCCAAACGGCCTCAGTGAATGTTCCCAGGGCCCAACCAGGGATCGAGTTGAATAGTGTGATGACCCTGGATGACCCTGGAGCATGGAAGAAAATGTCTCGTGTGCTTAACATGGTGACCAACCAATCCATCCAATCCAGTCCAATGCCCAATCCAATCAAGTCCAAGTCCCATCCATCCGTCCATCCAGCCAAACATGGGCCACTTGATTTCTGGACTTTGATACATTTTTATGCATCCATGTGGAATCCACATGTGGACTCAACGGCAACTGTCCGATCATGTTGAGCAGGAGTCCTCACCTTATCAAGACTATAAGACGTTGTAGCAGGAGTCCTGGATCGATTACACTAGAAGTCGACGAATCGATCGATGTAGTCACTTCATCAAAGAGTCCATGTTGGTTTGAAGCAATGTTTTGCGGATTCAGACAATTAGACAGAAGGTCGACATGTAATGTGTTTAGATCTTTGAACGAGCCTGAAAGAGGCTTGGCGCATTCTTTCGGCTCAGGGCTTGACAAGTAAGCCCTTGAACTCAGCTGGGGCTGTTGATGAGTTCATGGCGTTCAGATAAACATGGATGAACATGAGCATCACATATATATATGTGATTTGATCTCAATCTTTAGAATCTGCACCATTTGCTTCGATAACAATTGTCAGTCAGGGTACTTGGGTCAAGTCACCAAAACACAACCAACATTTGACTGTGCTTCGTGGCAGGTGGTTTGCGTTTCTTTTTTTGCTTTTCCAATTTGTGAGAGACCAACATGTCTTAGCAGAAAGCATGAATCACATTCAGACTTTTCAGGCTGAAAACTGAACATTGTTTGACCAGGCTTTGAACCTCATGATATTAACAATGTAATTCACTTCATTGGAGGAAGAGACCAACACCAATCGCGAACAATGATCAGGAACCCTACATGGTGTGAAAGCAATCGAGCTTGGTTCTTTGCATCAATGATTCAGCCTATGATTTACATAGAAGATCCATGATCCAATTGCTTGTTATGTCATTATCTATCTATATATATATATATTTGGTTGTGTTCATCTACCCACACCGTGCCCATCCGCTTGATTCGTTGGAACGCGCCCCACACGCACAACTCTCGCGCGGCGGCTTGAGCGCCGCGCCGGGTGCGGTGCCATGTCTTTTGCTCGGGCCACACGGCGCCCGCCCTTGCGTCCCGAGTCTCCGCAGGCGGACATCCCTTAGTTCAACCATGTTCAACCTACCCAGGACAATTGGAAACCAATGGTGGAACCTTCCTCGGAAATTGGGGAGGGCGGAGGCTCAAAAATGGCCCTACCCAAAAAGTGGATCATTTGCCGAAGCTTTTTGGGTGGATTGGTTTCCCCAGGTTTCCCCACCTCTGTTTTCCAGGCAAGGCCCAGACGGCCTTGCTAGTCAGGACATGTGCTTTGTCATCAGTCAGGATGATTCTGATGGGCCTTGATTCCTTCAAAGAGACCGATGTTGTCTTTCTGGCTTTGGGGGGATCGACATGGTGATTGAATACCCAAAAAGAAAAGGATTCGTAAATTGATTGATTTCGGAGCATGACCGTGACACCTTTCTGCGATGTTTGCCTTGGTCAAAAGGACAAGAGGAGCCTCAGCCATTCCACGCAGATGAGGACCCCTGGGCGCCCTAAGACACACCAGAGGGCCCTCTGTTATAACGCAATGGCTTCTGTAGATGCACCAAACACAAAAGCGACACAATAGTCTTGTAATGCACCATACTCCGCGTAGGCTACCTTGCAGTCTCCTTGTTTTGCCGTAGAGTATTTGGAAGTCTTTCAGAATGCCAGGGGCTAAGCAACAAACAAACAAACAAACAAACAAACAAACACACACACACAAACAAACACACAAACAAACAAACAAACAAACGCAATGGCCACATTGTAGTTCAAGAGTAAACAGGTTGTTGATGTGTTGAAGTATCCATATGATTCTATCATGCCTGCTCTGAATCGATGGCTTCTTTCTGGTCTCCTCAAAACAACTACCAAGCGGACTGAATTGAAGGTGCTCGATCATCCGCAAGCGGATGTGTGTTCTTTGTTTAAAGGCAAGTCCTTTTCATGTCCCGGACTTCGAAGGATAGAAGCCACATGACAATGGTGACAATCCCTCGGAGGGGTCTAAACATGTTTGAACCACACGCGTCGACCGCTGCACGCGACAGGCACGTGCCTGTCGAGAGAGGCCGACCAGCATCTCTCCCCGGAGGACTGGGTTGACTAGGGCAGCGACAGAGCCTTAACATACAAGAGGAAACGGAGATCAACAACTAATAGGCCACCGAAAGTGAACATTCATCTCAGATTTGACTACTTGCTAGCATATGTTAAAGATATTGAATGTGACTATTAATGTATCCAAGGGGCATGGTTTTATCATGTTTGATCATCCCCGCCATCGATAAGCTAAACTTTCAGGACCACATTGATTCAGCTGGGTTGAGAGAAGGATGATCAGGAAGACTGATTTGCCAGCTTGGCGTGTCTTCATTGATCCGAAAAGCGAGCTATATGTATATATATAGATATAAGTTATTAAGCTTGTTGCGTGGAACACCAGCAGCCTGCTTCGCCACCTTTGCCCCACCAGGATTCGCCTCACCAGCCCCACCGCCACCGCGGCCTTGGCCGCCGCTCCGCGGCGGAGCTCAGTGACGTCGCTGGCGTCGGAGGCGACCACTGCGATGTCGCACCCGGCCTTCTCCCTCCGGGTGGCGAGCTCAGCACCGGGGACGACGGTGGTGCCCGGGACGACATGTCCTTCAGGTCTGCTGCATGTGTCCGTGGGCGCTGCCTAAGGCGTCTCTGCCAAAGGGGTTATGAGCACATTGTGGGCAAATTGGATGCAAATGGTTTCATATGGTGTCATGAATGTCCCCATCTACATCCAAATTTACTGCATCCTTAGCTTGAGCCTTGAATGAGGTGATCACTGTTACTTGCGAACTTATCATTTGGCACAGGTGAAAGACAGAACACAACAGTTCGTGGTGATCACGGCAAAAGCTCCCAGCTAAGACCACCAAATGCTTACCGCTCTTGGCCTTTGTTACTTTTGCTCTTTGGAATCACATAAATCGATGAATGATCGAGCTCGTTCGAGTCTGGGATTCACCCTTAGAGCATATGTGTTGCTTTGAACACCTCCAAAGTGGGGTTCATGATTCATGTTGGACGGGTATATTTACCTACATGTTTCAGGGGTCAATGTATAGGTGGCACATGTTTGAAGTGGGACCATGAACTCGATTCCCAGACGCTCTGACTCCAGGGGACGGACCGCTCGAATGGCCTAGTCTACATTTAGGTGCTCTTGGGTGGTGAATGAACCGGTAGGCTGGATCAGCGCCACCATGGAGCGTTTGTGTTTCTTTTTGCCCAAAAGCTCGTTAAAGGCTTCATGCCCTGTCCCTGTCCAGCCTCTGCCCCGCCTAGACCTGTGCGTCTTCACGAGCTTTGAGCGCTGCCTGTGCCTCGCCCATCTCCACCTCGCAGTGTTCCTCCTCAGTGCAGCGCCACGGCTGAGGTCGTCGCGTACAGGGGCCGTGCTTGTTTGAGGATGCTCTTTTCCTACCGAGGAAAACATGTATGAGCTATAACGTGCTATAACCCTTTTATTGGGGAAACCACACTCATTCTGAGAACAGGTGGATCAAGGTGAAGCAGACCTGGGTATTCTGGGCTCCAGAGAAGGTTGTGTGCCATGTCATGCCCTGTCAAAGCTCACAACTTGATCAATCTATATATTATATATAATTAATTGGGTTGAGATCAGGTCCCAAGCTGGGAGGTCACCAGGCGAGCATCCTCCAGAGACTTCTTGGAGTTCGAACTGAACTGGTTTTCTGAGTTCGGAGAGGCCATCGACCAGCCTTCGTGCCGTCAGAAGGCCGAAGGAAGTGAACGCCTCCGAAGTGAAGCCCCAAAACACTGGACATGCCCAGTGGCCCAGTGCCGGTCAAAAAGTCAGGCACCATGGGGACAGGTGAAAGCCCAGAAACGTAAATGCTTCACTGGACACAGGGGCCTGTGTGGGAGATGGTTTTGCATTGTTTTGCTACGTTTCGCTGCAGATGAGGATGTGTTTGCAGCAAAACCTACAAAAAAAAAAAAATACAAACAATCTACTCGGCTAAGCCTTTGAAGGCGGATCGCATGGTGTTCTCCATCAGAATGTTCCATCCTGTGGAACGCAAAATAGCGGTCACAAGAGCTGACTCCCACCTGCTTCCTTCACCTGGTGATGCTCAGATGCGCGCTGGGCCCGTCGGCCCTAACACGTCGTGATGCGTCGTGACGCGTGTCACGTGTGGCTTTGACCCGTCCGGACCGGAGGACGACCTCGCTGGTGATGGAGGCGACGAGGTGCTGAAGGTGTAAGAAGATGAAAATGAAACATAAAACAATTTAATCGAAAGTAAATAGTATTCCAGCAGATTCCAGCACCACCCACAACCTGGGTGCTTTATAGATGCCATCCCGCGACATCCTATCATATATGTATGTTCATGTATTTTCCTTCCACCACCCGACCTGGGTGGTGCTGGTAATTCAGCTTCAGCATGCAAGCACAGACTACTGGCCGATGAGGCATATGAAGCAACCATGCATGTTGCTGAAATCGGCCATGGTGCGACTGCTGCTTGAAGCAAGAGCTGACCAGGGTCTTGCAGCCCAAGATGGCAACACAGCCTTACAGGGCGCAAGTCGGAGAGTCCTGCAAGAGCAGTGCTGCACTAGCTGCCGTCACAAGAATGCAGTTGTGCTTTTCTTTGCTCAACAGCTTGGCACGGGGCTCTTGCCACCTTGGCCACTTCAAAGTACTTAAGAGGAGGCGGGAGCTAAGAAGAATGTCGTATCACATCCATGGCACAGGCCCAGGCAAGAGCAGCTGAAGATTCTGGGGGCAAAGTCAGACCAGTCAAGTCAAGTGGTGAGAGAGTGGAGGCAGCTGAAGATTCTGGCACTCGAAAAGGCTCCAAGCGAGGGAGTCCATATACCCACTTGGCAAGTAGGAATCGCAGGCTATAAGTTTAATCAGGATGTTGCAGCACAAGATGTCAGAGCATCTTGATGACAGGCGTTGGCAGAAGATTTGTTTCCTTTGCCATCACTTGCGTCATGACATTGAGAATGCTGACAGGTAGAGTCTCCTCCACATCATCCTTTCAATTCTGTGTTCAAATCTTCAAGACTGACACTTCCACAGAACTTCCGTGTTGACTCATTTTATCATATGTTACCTCATAAATCCACTACCATCCGATCCACCGATCCATGCCGGGTCGTGCAGACCGGACGTCATCCTGACGTCATCCTCTCGGTCGCTTCCGAGGTCCGCGGATGCGGCGCGAGGCTGCCTGGCGAAGCTCTTGGAGAAGAGCAACGTGGCGCAGAGGCCCAAAAGCCGAACCCAGTTGGCGGATGTCGGCGGTTGAAAGGACAGAAACACGTTTTGGGTTGGCACCAAAACCGCCGGATCCGGCCGGCAGAAAAGAGGGTAGAGGGGGTTGTGAATCGATGATTGGACATCTTTGCGGCCTGTGCATTGACTTGGGAGGGCCAGTATCTTGACTTGCTATATTTTAAAACAGCTGTTTTTGAACATCAAGAGCAACATCAAGAGCATGACTAGAATCGATGTATATATATATAATATATATTGACGAATAGTTTGGGTCAAAATGGATTTTCATATGGTAACAGCCCTGAACAAAAACCACGAGTTCCGACGTTTCTTGGAGCTTCGCCGCTTCCTTTGGGGTGCCCTTTTCCACGAACTCGGCGCGATTTCCACGGTGCTTCGCCAGGCAGCTGGATACCGAGCTTTCTGCCCTCAAAGGAATCAGCTGCGAGGCCCAGAAAAGTTCGCGGCGATCAGCCAGTGGTGAACAACCATTGCATGTTGCTTGGTGTAGAGCTTCGTGGTGATGTTGAGTTATACTACGGACAAGTCGAGCAATGTTCCCTTTCAAGAACTTGTATCTCACGTGTACAGCTTTCGACAAGCACCTTTTCCCCTTTTTCGGTCCTGGCGCACATCGGTTCGGGGGTGGTCTTTAAACGTGAAGAACATCAGTTTTCACTTTCTGAACAGTTGTTATGTTCTTCAACTGAGCCATATGAGAAAAACATGTATACCTTGGTCATTGTAAGACAGTGACAACTTGAAGCAGATGGAAACGCGGATCCACCAGGCACCGCCCTCCGCAACCGGGCAGGTCGATGCACGTTTGGCGCAACAGTTGCGACGCAGGTCGTTTGCCTCGGTGTAGCCGCTACCGCGTTGCTGGACGAGATCTCACATCCAAACACCACGTATCAAAGCAGATCCCCCTGGATCTCCCGGGCAACGACCGTTGATACATTCACGATATAATGATGGTGATGCTGGACAACCTGTCCATAGACAGTATGTCAGTACAAAGAAATCAAAGCAAATCAAACATTTCAAGGTGTTTCAGGCGTGAAAGTTCCAGTACTCCTCACCAAACATATGACAGCTCCGAAACCCACTTCACAGCCCTTTATCGAACGTCGATGTGGGCGCATCCCAGTATCGTCCGTTCTCCACCCCGTCGCGCCCCCCTTTCGTGGTGTCTCCCGCTTCGGATCACAAGAACGACCTCCCGTCGTTGAAACGACCGACCGCGAAGAGACGACCGACCTGACCTTTTTGTTGCGACAAAGAAGAGTTCAGAGTTCATATGCAGAGAAGATCAGAGAAGTCACCTGTTTTGATTTTTCGCTGGCATCTTCCAATCCCCAGCCTTTGAAGTCTTCGGCCAGACTTCGGCCGCCGCTTTTGGCTCCTCCGAGGTACGCCTCCCTGGGCCCTTCGCCACCACAAGAAGAGGTGACGATCTCCGAGACCCACTGCTGGGTCTCATTGGTACCCCCATGACCTGTGGCACGTTTACGTCGATGACTCACAGGGTTTGGCTTCAGGGTGCATGTGATGGGCATTTCTGTCGAAGATGCATGTTGAATCATGTTGATTTGTTTCAATCATGTTTCAACTAATTATAGGGTTCCAAGACTGCTTTACGGGCGTTCAGGCTCAGGTTCATCGGACCCAAAAAAAGAGCACTTGGCATCCTTTGGCTACTTAGCAAGTGGATGCAGACCGATCTCCAAGTCGACAGGCTCTTTGTCCACTGACTATTATACCCGAAGGTAGTCCCGAAGGTGTATGAAGCCCTTAGTTCATGAATGGAAAAGTTTGCCAGGTTTTTGCACCTGAAATGATCAATAGACAGCTGCACAGTCTGCACGATGCTTGGGATCCCGTCGATGGATTGTGTTGTTTCTTTTCGGATGTATCGATCTCCATAAGTCTCCCAGTAAGTTCACTTGATTCGGTGTATGGTTGACATTGAGCCCCTGACATGTGGGGTCAATCAGGCAATCACCAGCATTTGGGTGTATTTTCCAATTTGCTGGCCTTCACATAGAGCACGTCCATCAGGCACATGTCAAAATATCGCGATGTGTTCTTGTTTCTACAAGATCATGATTCACCTTGACACCTTTGGTCAATCACTGATATCTTAAAGGTTGACTGTTGACCTATGAAGTGTAGATCCCTTGCAACTATAGAATGCTGGGTTGGCTATACATGCTATACATGCTATTACATGGGTCATGTTAATTATAGTCAAAAAAACAGTCCTTCGTGGGTCTTTACAGGTGGTCACACAGTTGTCATCAGCTCAAGCCAGCAGGAAGCTGTTGCCACAATAAACCCATCCGGGACTCGGTCGACGCTCGGTCGCCACCCGTCCGACGCCCCGGGAGGACCGGCGGGAGGAGATGGAAGCAGCCCTGCAGCGGCTGCAAGAGGAGTCCAACCGCTGCAGGACCAATTGTGCCACGCCGCGGTGCCTGGTGCGGTGGATGTTGGTCTTCTACCGCTTTACTGTATATTGTTTTGCTTGGTGGTTTGCGAAACAGTCTATCAGTCTATCAAGATCTTTGCATCCAGACTTGGTCAAGAGGAACAATGCTATTATATGGGCCAAATGTGGATTTTGTTTGGATCGTGATCATCTAGGAAATACTTCTTGTAAAATAGATACTCTCTTTTGTCGATTGTTAATTTGATATAAGCATGCAACAAGAACAACTGTTGATTACATAATTGACCACATACAGTACAGTATCACGTACTTGGTGAGTATTGAGTTACGACTGGTATGAGGTAATAGCCCTCCCGCTCTCCCAGTTTCGAGCATCAAGACACCCTACACACCACGGAGGATGGTCAAAGAGCACATGGAGTCTTTGATCAAGACCGCCGCTCAGGCTTGGTAGCTTTTCCCAGTATGTCCCAGCGTCCTTCTCGTTTTTTCTGAAGGTCAACGAGAGGTTTTGGAAGGGGCTTTTTGCCAACCAACTCGTGAACTTGTGAGCAAAAAGATGTAGTAGTCTATTGCCTGCCACTTTTCCCTTTTGTTGATCATTGAACAACCGACCTACGTATGTACATTGGTTGTTTCTTGGTGGGCTCTTCTGGCTAAAGAGTAGATGGCACAGCTGTAAGTGGGAGATGTGTGAAAAACCTTCACAGCTCAAGTCATTCGTCCATCGATTTGCGCAGAAAAGAGGATTCTTATTTTGTAGCTACGATCAATACTTGGGCCACCCATCCGGTAAAGTTGTGAACAAGATGTGTCCACCCATCCAGTAAAGCCCTACCCACATAAGAAACCTGCATCCTATCAGTTCTGGAGGATGCTGCAAACCGGCGCGATACTATAGGCGATACAATTTATATATGTCTAATAATTAATATGCAACATCCGCGGAGACAGCGAAGGATTCGGCGACGATTCGGCGAAGGATTCGGTGTCAGGTGCTTGGAGGACCAGAGCTTTGCGATCGGCGCCCGGCCTCGGTCCCGGGCTTTGCCGCCTGGCCAGAGGTTGAAACGCGCAACGCGAATGAGGACGCAGAAGGACGTGCGTTGTATTGGGTTATATAATACATCAGAGCAGAACACAGCGGAAGCAAGGGGCATTGAGTGGCTTTGTATGGTTTTGTTGGTAAGACCATGTAAGACCTGTTATTTTGTCAAATCGTTTTTGCTGGCTGTCTTCGCGTTTGGTATAATATTGAGACATACTGTCCTGAAGCACACTGAAAAGTGTCCCGCCTCAGCACGCAGTCCAAACCTTGAGGGTTTCTGTTGGATCACTGGCAAGACTGCACCAACATCGACAATCTTCCAGCTTTGTCATTTGCTAGATCAGGCGGGCGTTTTGTTCTGAAGCCCAACCCACTCACGGTTAATGCTCAAAAGTGTGCTGTTCGATGGCCTCCACCCTAGTAGCGATGGCCTCCTTACTTACTAGCGATGGCCTCCAACCTTACTAGCGATGGCCTCCACCCTACTAGCGATGGCCTCCACCCTAGTAGCGATGGCCTCCACCCTATAGTAGCGATGGCCTCCAACCAGCAGCGGCCAGGGCCAGTTCTATTTAGGGCCTTGGGGCCTTCGAGCAGCAGTTTTTTCTTTTTCTTTTTTGGTGAAAAGCGCTTACTGCAGGCACTCCAGTTGCAGAAGCAGCTCACTGCCAAATTGCAGGAACGATGTTTTCTTGTGCGCGTGGGCTGGGGCGCAAATTGGCTTCTCAAGCAGCTAAGGCTAAGGGTTTCTCAGGTTGCGCTCGCTCCATTCGGTGAAACAACTGTGTTGGTTTGCTGCGTTGCGGCGCCTTTTCTTGGGAATCATTGACTATGACAAACGGACTCACGGGGTGGACACTTTAAAACGGTGATCCTCTCAACTCTTCCTCTTTGTCCTCTCCTCACGGTTTAAATACGCATTTTTCTGTACTTGTTTTGTGTTTGGATCCACAAAACCTGTCCTACCGCCTGTCCTATACCTCCTGTCCTACCTCCTTTGTGTATCCTTTTTAGTGAGCTTTATCATCAGAGGGATAGGCATAGAAACAGCGTTCCCCTCTGCCCAGTTCTGCGACCTTGGTAGAAGCCTTCCGCGGAGTTCGCCGTGGCGTGGCCGAGCTGTGTTCGTCCACGGATTAGAAACGGCCCGTTGACCGATCTGGCGACGGTGCAACTCCAGAAATGGTGCCATGAATCGAGTCCACATTGAGTAGCGGCCGGTTCAGCGTGCACAGAGGTCTGCAGAGCGACGCGCTGGTACTTTTTGGATGCGAGTGACCCGCTCCCGACTGACCCACGGAAGGGAGATTATCCAAGACACTAATTTAGTGGGTGCAAATGTGCAAATTAAAAGACTCCTCAACTTCCCTCCCAAAAGAGAAGAGTCTTGGACATACATCCATTAGTTGGTTGATCTCCCTATTCCAATACAAGCCCACCAAATCCCACAAACACCTACACCGCCAGGCAGTGCTGTGCTCCACCCCGGTTGATGGACAGTGCCACTCGGCCGTCGCCAGGAGAGCCGCATGCGCTGCCGGGCCAGCGCGCAGTTGGGCCTGGAGAGCTTACAGAAGACTGAGCTTCGTGGGGGGCACCTGGTTTCGGAGCTGGCGCCAACGTTCAGAAGGTTTGAACGGGTTTGGGTGAGAATGACGGCTGATTTTAAATCTGCCTAGCCCAGATGGGCCCAGTACTTTCGACATCGTACTGTACATCAGACCTTAAGTCCAGTTCGCAGTTCGGTCTGACTGAAGACCGGCCAAACCCGAAGAAGTCGGACCAACGGGTTCGGCCACAGGTCCCGGTCGCGCTGGAAAACCCCACCAGGATCGGGGATCGGCCGACCGACTTAAGGCCAGGACAGCTTCGCGTGTGGCGGCCCAGTGGTAGGTGAAGTGTTTTTCGATACCTCTTCTATCCAGGAAGTACGTGCATAACCTTTAACATCCTTTATTTTGGGAATTGGTTTCCCCGTGATAATGGAATATTTTTTCGGGGTCTCCGTGCATCTCCTTTGTTTCATGATGACCTAGATGAAATTGGTTTCCACAAACTCCCGAACATTTGGAGTTACTGGGGGTCTCAGATTTTGGAAAGACCTACGTAGGGTTTCCCGTTACCATTAACAGTCAGTAAACATGTGTCACTATTTTTTGAGAAAGGCTTTTACCAACCAGCACTATCTACTGTTACTGTTAATGGGATATGTGCAAGAAAGACTCCACATTCATTGGTTGCATGCAACAGACTCAGCATCAGAGAGTGTACAGTAACATCGTGTAACTACACGTTCTGCCTGGGTTGCCGTCCAGCAGAGTATCAGAGATGCAGAGTATCCATACAGGGTTTGTAACAGAAATGGTGGAAATCCAAAGGGGGGGTCAAAACAAGTCCAGCTCGAGGTCCTCCATCATGTAGCACCAGTTGTGAGGTCAACCGACACCAGTTAGGTCAACGGGCACCGGTCTCCTCGTTTTGACCACATATATCCAGAAATGTATTGAACAAAACAAAACATAAAACCATCAGTCGTGCCTTAATGATCTAACGGTATGACAACGAAGCGGGCAGCTTGTATGAGATCCACAGACTGAGACACGGCTGAAAGGATGTCCTCAGACATTGGTGCTACGTGTATCCACTTATCCATATGCACCAAACTGTTTTGAACTGTATAACTTATTTCCTGACTCGTTAATCTACCATTTGTCAACGCCAGCCTACTTGTCACCCCACCACCTCTCAAGCTCTTCTCACTTGCCATTCCACCGTCGCCGGCTGCGAGGCCTTTACCGCGCTACCCGGAAGGGAGCATGCCGATGCCAGCAACGGCGCAGCTGGCAGCAAGTACAGCTGCATCGTTGGCGTTGGTGGCCACTCGTTGGACGTTGCCGTTGTTTCCAACACCGCCGGACGTGTGCCGCTGCGACTGCCTTCATCGACTCGAGGGGGGCAGGAGGAAATTGTATGGGCTTGGTGGTTGTCAAAGCTATTTTTGTCAAAGGGCAAGAGAGGGAAGTTCTATTCAAGCCATATACCTGGTGAGGCAGAAGCAAAATGGACAACCACTGTAGCTGGCATTTGTTTGATTTTGTTTGTATATGTCTGTATAAGGTCGACCAGCCTATTTATATATATATATATATTGTGTCTATATGGAAGCGTCAGTTAGTGAGTCAGAGCTTTTTTGGATGTGTTCGGTGGTGTTATTCGATTTCGCTTGTGGGGCCCGGCGGTTCAAACTTGACGAATGGTCGAGGGTCGACACTTAGGGGTTTGGGATAGTTTTTTTGTCTTTGATCGGTCACAGACACGCAAAGATACCCCTTGGATCCCCTTGGAACATCCATGAATATCCCAATCTTCCTTCACAGCTGGCTTCGCTGACCGTGGTGACTGACTTGTGCAACTTGTGCACTGTGTGAGCATGTTCACGAAGCCCAAGGAAGAGTTGAACCACGGTGACTTAAAGGAGTGGCTTGGTGGCATTGGGCTTGGTGCGTTTGAGTTCTGCTTTGGGAATGAGTTTGGGGTGGTCAGACCTGACTTCTAGAGGACCCAAGGTCCAGCATGTATTTGAACTTGTTTGAGTAGTTCTGCAAGTACATAATCGTTTTAAAGGTAAAACTTGTGAGTTTGGGTAAAGATCACCAGCTTGGGAGGCCTTAGGAATCAGGTCATAGGCTCATACATGCCTCGGTCACCAACAACTAGAACAGCAAACACTGCAGCGATGAAACTGACGGGCGGATGCCATTGGAATGCTCACAGTAGAACATCAAAATCAATAATTTGAACAGATGTTGAAGCACGTGAAGCACATGCAATTTCTAAAAAGAACGTGTTTAGGGAAAAACCATGAAAAACCATCAAATTGAGACCTCTTCTTCACTAGAAACATATATTACACATCAGCAACCTCAAATGATCAAAAATAACTATTCAGAAGTTCCTGTGCACTGCACGTCTTTCAGAAGAAATACGCAAAAGTCGTTGGACATGCACGTTTTCTGATTGTAATTAGCAATTTTGGCTGTATTGGGTTGCATTATCCTACTTCCAAAGCCTGTCATACACTGACATGGGAACATGCAGCTATGTCGTAAATACCTTCGTGGGCCGAAGGGTGTGTCAATCCCAGAGGAATGGTGCCCGCTGCTCCCTCAAGAGATTTAGAGCTTGTCAATCCGGCAGAGCCTAATTTTATTAAAGAAAGTCCCGGGTTACAATTTTATTCTACCCAGAAATACCTTTCAAATACATGTCTTTACCTGTCCAATACACATTTGCACCCATCCAATACGTAAGCCACAGAGTGCTAGACGGGATCGGCATCAAAATAACATGGGAGATCCCGAAGTTGAGCTGGAAGCAAAGGCTCCGGTGCAAGTGACAGACAGGGCCTTCTTGTGTGTTTCTAAAGAGGACCATGCTCACAGAACTGCACAGTGTTGTTTTCAAGTTCGAGTATTATTAGTATTGTTATTAGTAGTAGTAGTAGTGGTGGTAGTAGGTACTAGGTGTAGTAGTAGTAATAATAATGAGGAGGTAGTAGTAGTAGCAGTAGTAGTAGTAGTATCAGCAGCAGCAGCAGTGGTAGCAGTAGTAGTAGTAGTAGGTAGTAGGTAGTAGGTGGTAGGTAGTAGGTGTAGTAGTAGTAGTAGTAGTAGTAGTCGTAGTAGTAGTAGTAGTAGTAGTAGTAGTTTTTGTAGTTTTAGTAGCTTTAGTGATAGTAGTAGTAGTAGGAGGTAGTAGTAGTAGTAGCAGTAGTAGTAGTAGTAGCAGTAGTAGTAGTAGTAGCAGTAGTAGTCGTCGTCGTAGTTGTAGTAGTCAGTCGTCCATCTGAAGGAATGCCGGTCGGTCATTAAACACTCTTCACATCTCTTCACAGAGTTTGTACATTGTACATGTTGACTTTATTTAAAGAAAACGAAGGTTCCACATATTGAAGTCCAGACATGAACCATGTTCATCATCAGCCATCATCAGCAACTTTACCCTCTTTTCGCGGAAAACATCGTTTCATATTGCCAGCAGGTTAGAACCAACAAATTTGAAGGATTTCAATCACAGTTACGCCAAAAAACTCAAAGGGTTTCAATCACAGTCACACATGTTCATGTTCAAGGTCTTGCGCAAAACATCCTGCTTCCTTCAATAAGTAAGTCATGCATCAGAATCGGGTTCGAAAACCCACTCAAACCATCTCAAACCTAGAGTCGTGTGATTTTTTCTGACATTGTTTCATACAACAAATACAAAGATCAAAGTATTTGCTTTCACTGTAGACTTTCAATGACTCAGACTCAAACTTTTCAAAAACGCTCAATGTGTTTCACCTCACAATGGGTGGAATTCCGTCTTGAAAAACACGAACCAGCAGTCAGTGCTCGGACATGGACATTTGGTTTCCAGATGTTTCCAGTAGCGAAAAGAACTGGACCATTCTCCCTGTTAGAAGGTGATGGTCCAACCAATGGTTTTTGGGGTCGATTTTCCTTCTTCCAAGGGGTCTTTTTGGGGTCTCCTTTTTTTGATACACACCCTGTTGGTGCCCAAATTTTTTGTATGGTCCAGGCCACTCAACCCGTCTCGGAAGGAACTCCTTTTGACTCTTTTGGACATTCCATGCTGCAACTGAGGATCCCAACTCAGATTCCTTTGCAGGCTTAATTTGGGGCGGCAACACTGGGGGGAAGGCTCCTGAATTGCCAAGAGAACTTGTGAACGAACATCAAATGCTGGATCTAAAAGTGGGGAGAAGATTGAAGAGTAGGAATGTGGTACCGTGAAACTATCTTATTTTTTTTAAGACGTTGTTGTACTTTGCTTTTGCACAAGGTAGAATGTGAGGATATGTTGGGAGACCATTTGTTGGTATTGAAGAGGTCTTAAGGGTTGTTGACCCAGTCGCTTCTCAAACATTTTTCTGCGAAACAGTGCGGGATGAGAGGCCTGACTCAGTGAAACGGGATGCTGATAACAAGGAAGCTCCACTGTTTGGAGGTGTTAGGCGTCTACTGGCACGACCTGATATCGCATACCCCTGTTTACATGACGATGTACCTCATCGGTTTTCCCTCAACATCTGGACGTCCATGCTAGAAGTGGCTGACGAAAAGAGAAAGAATCACAACGTATAGCGGGGTCCCCAAACAGAGAGTGGCACCCATTTTCAAGAGATTCTTGTTGTAGGCTTGTAGGGACATAAAATCCGTCTAAAAGAATCTACTTTTCTATCTATTTGGGGTCCAACAAAAACCGGATGATGCAGATCTTTCACCTGCAGTCAGACCTCCAGCGCACGTGCAGGAGGCTCCGCACGTGCGTTTCGGTGTGCTGGAAGACTTTCACCGTCCGGGACCTGGCCGAAAAACTGCTGCGGATGCGTCAGGGGTGCTTTGGAGTTAAAGTATTGGTCATCAAGGTACCATCAAACCATATTAAACCATATTAAGCCTAGAGTGTGAAAATGCGAACATGAGACATGACATGACAACGAAGACGCTGTACTCATGCTAACTATATCGAGGTTATGTTCAAAGGTACTCTGAATCTTCATTCGATTTCACTGAAGCCACTCAATAATATATAGCTCCTAGTTTTTAGACAATGATAGATGTTTCTGAACCCCCCCTGTATTTGACCCTTGCTCGATTGTACAGATACTTGCGAAGTGACCTTGAGGATCTTTGATTTGAGGAGTGCCATATGGGCGGAACTCCAGTTTCACATGGATTGACTGCCATAATCCGCCACATGGGTGTGACTTTTTGTCTCGGGAGACCTGGAAGAAACGCTGGGCAAAGCTCATTGATGTCCCTATTTCGGGGAACGGTTGTGAGGTCTCTCTATCGCCTTTCAAGGGACCAGTCTGCCATCTTTGCCTGGCGGCCTTCATAGCCTTGTCTATCTACAGGGGGGAAGTCCTTCACCTGCAAGAGGAGGTGTTTGTAGTTTCTCATGTTAAGTAGATGCCTGCACCCTCTCAGTACCAAGCAACATATTATGTGTTTTTCTTATGGGGTCATGAGTCATGCTCCATTTTTCAAGCAACTTTGCAGATTCCAGGTACTTCTACAGCTATCAGCTATTGCCTTTTTTGATTTCTCTGCAGTGATACTTAGTGACCTGCTCAATTGCAAACAGGCCTTGGCTGGGATGACCGTACGGCGTAGAGAAGAACACCGATCCGGACGGTCATCCCGGATGACCTGATGACGAGACCTGAGGCCGTTGGCCCGAAGATGCGGTCATCCAAGAAGAAGAGGCGAGGATGTCCGGGCAACGAGGGGTTTGGTCATCAACGTATGCTACACATGAGGAATGCGTATGCTACACATCTCCAATATCAGCGCTTGGCATCAGCGTGGAAGTGGGTCTTTGGATGCTTGTTGGCTTCGATTTTGGATGAATGACGATCATTAAATCACATGTCAATGTTTGATTGGATCTTTGGTATTTTGGGGCTGGACCCCAATGGTTCCCTGAGCGTCCCCCTGACCGACCACACGGCTAGCCTTTCGCAGGAAGACGAGTTGATGGAGCTTCCCCGTGGTCTGGGCTCTGCGGCGGTTGTGGATGTGTGCTGATGACGAAAAGCTTGCGCCCGTTTGGTTGTGAACGGTCCACACCCGCGTCCGCCCATCCCCGAGGCATGAGGGATGCGTCATAGCATGTCATAGCCACGGTCCGACCATGGACGTTGTCCAGTTGCAGTGGCTACTGGTCTCCTTTTTGCAGGTTTTTGCATTGCTCCTCAACTCAGAAAGCTGGATGTCCTAGCCTGTCCTGAAAGGATGTCCCGAACGTATTGGCAAAAGCAACAACAAGATGTATCAATTTAACACGTACGCTCACTGAGCAGCTCGTGTTGCCCATTTCATCCCATTACGCTCAACATTCACCCCAGGAGACCCTCAGGACCCTCTCGCTGTTCACCATCGAGTTTCCTACCCATAAGCTGTTCACCTGTTTTGAGGGGATTGGTTTTAAATCGCAACGATATGGGTTCCCAAGGTATGCTTATTGTGCCTGGCTCGACTGATCGACTAACGCCCTTGAGCTCCACAAGCCGTGCAAACTCAGGAGTCCTAGGACTCTAGGATGCGGAGAAAGGCTGACTCATGTCCCACCCAAGCCATCACATGAAAGCTTAATTACACTATTACACATTATATCATCAAGCCGTCAAAACACCACCGACCAAGCTACAAAAAAGACAGGATAAAACAACATCTCTCCCACCAGCTCCTTTGATTCACACCACCCACAACTATCAAGTCCTGCTAAATCAACTTCAACAAACTTCACAGAACAGAGAGACCTTCATGTTTCTTTTGTGCCACCTCAGTCCCTCCTCAGCCGTGCCTTTCACGGCCTCACAGCGACCCACGGTCTGCACGCTCCGGTGGAGTGGCTCCATGGGTGCCGTTTCATGCCGTTGCCGTGGCCTCGGGAGGTGCGCCGGTGGACCGAAGATGGTGAACATCGACCGGTGGACGGACTGACCGCGCTGAAAAAGGCCATGCGGCTTCAGAGTAAAGGGTGAAACGGTGAACGCGACCTGAACATGATCCATACAAATGTTGGGTTGGACCTTCACTTTCGGTCACTTTCCTGAAACCATGATCCGTGTTGTTGAGAGTTCTAAATATTCTATGTCAATCTGGAGGGGTGCCCCTTGTACCAAAGGAGTGCATATTGCAAACTGTAAGGTACTTTGCCTGTTGTTGTTGTTGTCCATAGAGTATGCAACTGACTGCTTCCTTTACCTATCTGGAGGGGTGCAGGATGGGGCAGAGTCACCAAATCAGAAAGCTATCTTTGGGGTTCCTTGCAACTTATTTTTGATTGGAGCCTAGCGAGACGCCAAATATAGCGTCTCATTACTACACTGCGTCTTTGCTCCTAGTAGCGATGCCAGGAGCCCTGAACGTAGCGTCCTTGCTCCTAGAAGTGCACGAAATGCAGGAGCCAGATCAGAACACAAGTTCTTCCGACTCCATACGCTCCGTTCGACCAAGTAGAGACGTGACTGGTCCGATATAAGGTGGTACTTAGTGAAACACTCCTTGAGACATGTACTGAATCTGCTTTCAACAGCGTCAGGATGACACAAGCTGATTTGCTGAGCAGAGGCCAAGTTGATATCCATCCTTCCATATCCTTCCCAATTCCCAACATGGAGCCAGTCCATGCGACCAACAATGAAATAGCTAGCATGAGAGAACGCTCAACATTGGTGGTCTTGCTTGTCCTAAGTGGCGTCATGGTTAAATCTTGAACTGGAAGCTCTTTTGACAGACTCGCAGTTCTGACACCCGTGATGTTGACTGCCTTTGTGGCAGGACCAAGAAACGGCCAGGTGTTTCAAAAGAAGGGTCACTGACATTTTGGGTTCTGTGCTTTTTGTTTTTAGGCGTCCCTCAGAAGATTAAGAAACTGCGTATTCCAGGGAAGGTACTATGCCGCCCGGCTTACTGTGACAGGTTTCTCCAAAACTCCCGTTCAAAGCACTATGAGGACCATAATTATCTTAATTGTTTGACCAACAAATTATATATATATATATATTTAGTTATAACTTAACCATAACATTATATGTAATTATCATATAACCTATATATCATATCATATATAACATATATCTATATGTATATATATATAGAGCATCTATTTTAAAATATATAGGTTATATAGCCGAATACACACTGCTTTGGTACCTAGGACCGTAGACGCCCTTTTTGCATGCCCGTAGCTTCTTCTCGAGATGACATTATCATGCCCTGTAAGGAAAAGGTAGCGTTGATCTTTCTTTTGCT